GACGTCATTACCCAGTCGAAAACCAGTGACATCATATCGGCAGCAAACGCCTTATGGCCTTCAGTCGGCCCAAAAGAACCCCGATCGATGCAAAACCACTTTCAGTGACGTCACAATGTCAGCTAACGCCTCACAGCATTTCCCCAGTACGGCAGTATTCGAACCCTGAAGTCAGCGTAGCTCTTCCCTCCGCCGGCCGTACAGGTACCAAAGTAAGAAATAGCTGGTGGTGAATGTCTCACCTCCTCCGCTATGAACAGAAACAGCGCGGTGTCATCAACTTGTTACCTCATTATCTGGTTCTCGGCAACCAGGCGACAGTTGTCTAAGGCGACAATTTTCTGAGGCCTGCGACGAAATCTAGGCTTGCTCGTGGGAGGTAGAAAACGCCAACCAGGGCGTATAAGGATACGATGCGTTAAGAGGTTTGAGAAGCAAGTTTGGCATTTAAGGTTTGGCAAGCAAGCAAGCCTTGGACTGATTTGCTCGGAGTGACGATGAACCCTCTGAGAAAGTTCGGATCTAAACGCGATTTATGTCTCGTTTATTTCCATACGGTATCGTAGTGCTCAAAGTAGAATTACGGGATCTGAGATGTGGCTGACGGCTCCGACCGTACCCACCCCACATTTGACACCGCCGTTTTGCTGGGGGCGGGGAATGCAATGGTCAATGCTGCGGTGCATATTGCGATGTGCCAGCTGTGGCGAAGGCTATGTTCTTAGAAACGACGCAAATTCGCAAGGCTTTGCCGAATTGAAAGGAACGATCGTGAGGTGTAGAGGTTATAGGCCACGCGTTAATCATCGCCAGGTACACTCCAGCGGGTCAGAGCACCCGCAACGCACCATCGGGGCACAACATTCGTCAACTCCTAAGAAGACTCGCAATCACCGGTCTTATGTTTGACTCGAGCTGAATCATGAATTGGCTCATGAGTCAATCGTTCTGGATGAGCCGTGAGCTGAGTCGGCTCACTAGGAGCTGAATCACATTCTTCGTAAATTTCGGGAGCTGAAACCATGAGTCAAGCTATGTTGCGTCAGTGAGTTTTTTTTTAGAGATTTTAGAAGATTTTCTACTGCCTATAAAATCTAAGGGATTGACATCTTTTTCAATATTAAACTTCACAACGAACAACTCATCCATACCTGACACCTCGTTCGCTACTACTTGAAACGCCGTAAACGTAAACGCCGTGACCTCTTCCATCGGTAACTATTTCTATGCAACCCGCAATTTTAAGAATTTTGCCTCCACATTAAGAAGTCTCGGAATGTTGGTTAAGTGGCGCACAACACTATTCTCTACGCAGCACGGAAACCTGCTTTGATTCCTAACCCATAATAATGCGACCTGATTAGATGGGCCAAGGGTACCCTGATTGAAACGACAGTCGACACCTACTTCATCCTATCTCTAGTTCAGCTGTTCAGAGTTCAGGTCATTTCGGTTCAGTTCCTTGCTGACTGTAAGACTTGGGTCAAGCAAAGTGGATTTTTCTCGTGCTTGTTTGTGACAGATGCAATCTTAATTTGTAATGCTCATTAAGTTCAGATAAATAGGAAACTGCATAATGTTTGTAACGTGTGCTAGCTAATCGCTACTGCAAGAACTGCGATCCGATGTTCAGTTATTGACATGCCATCGCCGACGTGATGGCAAGTAGCGATGTGATTACGTATGTGTGCATGCACTCGGCTGACACTTAGCAGGTACATACTACGAACTGTCGGTTCAGTACAGTCTATTCCACGCTATACAGCCAATGGGTTTGGGTCGCAAGTGCCAGGTAGAATACGCTAGCCTGGAGCTAAGACCTATGAGAGCTGGTTGGGGGCAGGTTGCAGGACAGGTATTGTTTGCTGCACTGCAGTTGGTAGGTTCAAACTATGCACTTGCTTCCAGGCTGTTCGTATATATTTTTGATACCATGACACATATGCATGCATGCACACACACACACACACACACACACACACATACTTGTGTGCCGTGCTTTACGGGACACCTGACTCAGCCGTCACTACCGAGAACCACCCGAACGAATGGCGGCATCGCAGCCAAATTGGAAGGCCATGCAGCCATTTGGCCGTTTAAGAACAGGATGGGTCGCTCGAGGGGTAAAGCTGCCATCTTCAGCTTACACTGGCAATTGAAAATACCGAGGACATAGTGATAACAGAGGACCGTGTGTGACTTTTCTGTCATATTCAGCTGTGTATTGAGGACCAAGAGTTGCACCTAGAAATTAAGGACAAAGGGACAAAGGCTTTCAGGTCGGGGGCCTCGAACATCATTCAGAAGGACTCCTTGGGGGTTGCTGGGAAACTGAGGGCCCCTTTACCGGTGAGAGACGATGTCGAACAGTCTGTGTTGGATATTTGTCGACAAATGTTTCGCTTGAAACCAACATGTTAATTAATCAGCGAGGCAACGACCATCTCATAAACCAGTGTCGCGGCCACCTTTGAAAGATGACGGCGACAAACCAAACACGGCCAGATATCAATATGCTACCTTGTGCACAAGCGCGCAGCCAGAGCCTTGGCAATGGGCCAGGGGCACGCACAAGGTTGATAAAGGGCTCCCCAATGGTGAAAGCCCCCCCCCCCCCCAAACAAAAATATCGCTGGCATTGGAGTGCCCCATTGTGCCGGCCGGGGCTCTGAATAGTCTTCCAGCCGACCTTTCTGGCCTTTGGGCCCTCAAATCAGGCCCTTAATCGTAAATCCCGAAGCCCTTCGGGTCCCCTGAAACCTTAGGCAGGGGGGACGTGCCCCCTGTGGCCTTCCCTCCCTGCGCTCCTGCTTGCGCGTCAGGCTGTTGGTTTGCGTTCAGATATAGGCAAATAACGGCGGATTGTAGGCTTTCTGCTGCTTAAATCATTCATCTATAATATAAAAATCGTTTTACTCTATTTTATCATGGTGCACTTTCCGGCCGTCCCGTTAAAGTCTAAATCAAGTCGGATAAATAGTAGCATACGCCATGTTAATACCTGCTGAACACTCTTCATGAAAAAGCCCTCCCCAGGCGGGTTGATATCACCAACGGATTTTGGCTCCATCGACCTCCATACGACATTGGCTCCATGCTGTGGAATCGCCTCGGACCGCATAACAAATGACTGCAGCTCATTAAACTACCCGATGAGTGTTTGCCCCGACGGCTGGACACCCGGGACACTAAATGTTTTCCGTCCCCAACGGCCCGGTAAGAGTAGGAGAAAGGGCAACCAACGCCTTTTGGGTTTCCATGACCCTTTAGCACTAATAGTGCTAATAGTGCTAAAGCATCATCAATGACCCGGTCGGCGGCACACTACTCGACGGCGGTTTTCCCGAAGCTTCTGCTGTTGCAACGGTTGCAGCAGAGGGCGGCCGGGGCTGAGGAGCGGGCAACGGAGGCGACGCGCCAGACAGCGGTGGAAAAATTGACTCGAGGTGCTGCTGGAACTGTTTATCTGCTGACCGAGCTACTGCAGTTTCAGGTGCTGCGGTGGGCAGCCGCCGTTCATCTCATTCGCAGGTGACTCCGACAGTCTCTTCTACACTGTCGGCGTTCCAGTCAGTATACAAAGCCCATGTTGCTCGACCCTGCTCGCGAACCCCGGTGTCTTAGGGCGACAGTACACAGCCTCTAATGCTGTGGATGTGACTGGCGGCGCGAGTGCGCGGCGGCCTCGATTGGTGGGGTACAGTTTGTAGCCCGCGCTTGGGATACGGCTTGTGCCGGCGTCAATGCAGCGGTCTACTTAATGATGGCCTCTTATGCGACTGAGTGTGGGTTAATGGTTCGCTGTTGGTGTAACTGTGAGTCACGTGCTCACGCTACCTGTTAAATGTGCCTTTCCCACGGCTTGCGTGTGTTGGGTTTTTTATATACGTGTCAATTACGCATATGCACTTTCTTCATACAAGTGGAATCTATGGTGCGGCGGGATGTAGCAATCAGCTGCTGACCGAGGAAGGAGGACCGTGCAACACTAAAATCAATGAGTCAGTCGTTACAGTCATTGCAGTCAGTCACTGAAGCCAAACGAGCTGCCTCATAAACATGTCGGCTGTTTGGCTGATGCGAGATTTCGTGCTCGACGCCCACGCGCCCATTCCAGTCTTCAAAAACTAGTCAAAGGCCCCTGTGGCCCACCACTTCCCAATGTAACAAGTGTGCTTTGGTTAAGTGTAGTGGTGTCAGATTTGCCAACGGATCTCAAAAATGACGTAGAGAAAGAAGCATTTGCATTGAATCCTGTATTGGAAAGATGCGACAGGAGAATGACACACCTAATTTGCTTCCAAACTGACATTCAGGTATAACGCATTTTTACCAATGGGGTGGGTCTATTTCCGTGCTTAGGTGTCATCTTCCGCCCAGAATTGCAAATCTCGCCATACTGCCCTTGGTGAGCACTGCTTTTTCACCGTTTATCAGCTCCACCTACACAGATTGCTACTATAAACGGGAGCAACAACAAGGAGATCGTTTTTGTCGTTGCGGAATTTACTAGCGAGCATCATCCAAACGTGAACGAAGTCGGCATCTAATGTGTAAGTCACTGAGACTCATTTCGCCGTACGACGTGCTCTAACAATCACGTTATGGACATGGATTTAACATCTCTCCATGAGCGCTAGGACAGAGCATTTTCTGCTGACAGGGCACGTAAGCATGCAGCTTGGCCAGAAACCTCCATGTGGCTAACAAACATGCCAAGCTGCCTCATCACAGCTGCCTTTTCCGCATTGCACCAGGCAATACGTCTTTTTTGCCAGTGGTGTTTTTTTTCCTGAGCGTCATTGTTAGTCTCTCGATGTGAAGATGTCTCCTCCGGAAACAAGTCTCCCTTCCCCTCTTGGCTTTTTGTCCAGGTAGGACATTTGCGACCTCCACCACACAATCGTCTTCACCCATGTCCTCCGGATCGTCCTCTTCTGCCATTGGTGCGCTGTTGAGGTAGTCGACCTCGTCCAGATTTTTCCCTTTGCAGACAGAGATGCCATTTTTGGTTTATTGGTTTTATACAACACGCATCACATCGCAGCCTACTCCTGTACATTTTGCTTCGATCCTGAGCATAAAGCACAGCGACTTTAAAACATGGAAAAAGGAAAACAAAATAACTGACCCAAAACGGAACGCCAACTGTATTCTCGCTCCGTTGTTTCGTAATCTACGAACTACACACTGCACAACTACATCTTTAGAATACCGCTCCGTATTTAAGATCATCTAGAAAATGTATACAGTTTGGCTCCAATGGTAATTTGCAGGCCGTCCAATGCTTGAAAGCGGAACTTCAAATACTCGCATCCTTAACGAGTGTCGCTCTCGGGGAGTAATCTGGAAAGCCGAAAACGGGTGAGATATGAGAAATTTCAGTTCAGAACAGGATTGTGACCCCCACGTGAAAGAAAGTTGTGCTTGTGTTCAGAAGCGTGGGCATGCACCACGCTGATGGCTCACGGGTGGTGGAATCAAAATAGCTGTGCAATAGTCGTGTCCCGAAAGATAGCTTTCCAGTTCGCAGCAAATCCGTGAATGAATATCGGAGGCCACAGGCCTCCCGTCCGCGTACATATTACCCATCTTGTTAGAGCTCATGCACTGCCGTCAAGAAGAAGGAAGTGATGGGGCGGCGATGGGGGCGGAGAGAGGGGGACAACAATAAATCGTACTAGGCTCTAGCCACGCAGCCGAACTTAACCTGAAATTAGGCCAACAACAGCAGAGTCGCCAACATTCATCGTCAACGCGATCAGCAGCTACCGTGATTCGGACGGCCCTCATGCATGGTACGCGCGCCCGTTGGCAAACTATGGCGTGCCTGTCTTCATTCCTGTAGCCATGCACGCACAGCTGCGATGGGAATCGATTTAGAGAAGAGCAACAGTTCCAGTATCATCGCTGACCGCATGCGGCAGATGCGAGTCCATGCCCTGATGTCCTAGGCTTACTACGCCCTGTCAATGCCATGCTGTTCATGCACGCCATACGGTTAACAGTCGTAAGACAGCGAGGCATAACCGAAACGAGTTGTGGTAAAAAGCTTATTGCCTCTAAGCTCAAACAATGCATCAATAAGAAATGACGAAACTACGACAGACAGGCGGCGGTGGCCCACAGACCGTCATCCCAGCCCCCGGGCGAGTACGCCCCCCTAGCCCAAGTGTATGTCTACTGGCCGGTTGGTAAGAGTGGACAGTTTTCTGACCACTGCCATATCGCGGGTAGTGCAGGATGAAGGTAGTGTGCGCCATGATGCAAACATTATGATATATTTGATAGATGATTTTGGATCGAGTGCGTATTGTGAGTGTGATTGCACGCTATATGTGAATGCATCAACAAAAATTACAAAAAGACCAGACAACCAAACCGCTGACCTGACCATCGCATTTGAAACTATCCGACGTCACACCGTGATACTGGCCGCGAAACAGATGGGAGGCAGCCCCAATGCACACCAACGCCGCAACTGTTTTTGACAACGTGACACGCTGGAAGACCGACACCCCTCCTTGCCGCGGATGGGCTTCCCCACGCTATTGCGAGACACTCGTCTGTCTAGCCCCCGCAGACGAGGTCTCTTCGCAGGCATTTTGGTCTACCCGGAGTGCGCAGACCAGAACCATGCTTAGTGTCCCCTCGATGGATTTTTGGCAACACCGTTATGACCCGGAGCCGGATGTGGCAGCCAAACCCGCTACCACAAGCTATGTTCAGTGAGCGGCCGGACCCCACGCTCATGAAAGCGTCGGTGATTCCCGCGCAAACAAACCGGCGTTGGTGATGTATATTATATATATATATATATATATATATATATATCATTGATCCCGTCGTAAAATGCGTAAAACAACATATAGTAATGATCCAAGGCTTGGTTCAATCGTCCCATTCATGGGAAATAATTAAAGAAACTATGTTGCAGCAAGCATCCTAAGCCATACACATTTCACATACAATGAAAAAACCGAGACTGCCAGTGACTAAAAACTTTTTAAAGCAACTTCTGCACCCCACCTGTTCGAATTTGGCAGGGAAACTGCTTACGAGGCCTATTTCCACCATCGCTAATGCTTCTCATTGTTCTTCGGGTAGCCGTGCCCGCGGTAAATATTCTCGAGGACCCATGAGCTCGAACTCTTGACCCGAACGCCCCAAAATCTGTCCTTCCCGAAGAATATCATGCTCCATATTGCAAAGAGCATATGAAAATGCTGTTGCGCGTAAGTCCTTAAGCATCCCAAATATAGCCCGAGTTACCTTTGTTGCAGTAAACTTTCCGGAGGACTTCTTTTAGAGGACTAAACTTCTTTAACTCTCCCAATGGTATACATATAGGCCACCTGAGAACAAAAATGTTTTTGCATGTTTCATTAAAGAATGACGCCATGCACCGGTGGTGCCACAGAGAAGGAGCACTAAATGTTGACAAGACCATTCAATAACGCGGATGCGGGTGTACCTACATAATTGCAGGCCGCGATATGTTAGTGGTGTTGGTGCAGGTGGTGGTGGCGTTGGTTGCAGAATAAAGTGGGGCTGGCACAGTCGACACGTGCTTGCGTAGACCAGCGATGAGGATGGTGGAATGAGATACCAAAATGGCGTTACACTGAGGTCACGCACCATGCAGGAGCTGTTATGGTCACACAATAGTAGGGGGGGGGGGGGGAGGCAGACATTGGTGGTGTTGGCAGGATCAGACACTGGTGAAACTGGCAGGGCAATGGGGTCAGCTGCATGGAGCCGACACTCGCATGGAGCTGGAGGGGTCAGACACCACGGTGGGATGGGTAGACCCAGACATTGTGGTGGGGTGCATGGTGTCATGCACTGTAATGACATCCTACTGGTTAAGGCACTGATAGGGATGGTGGAGCCAGGCAGTGTAGTGGCATATTTGTGGGGGTCGGACGATGCAGTGGTGTTGGCAGTGTTGGACAATGTGATGGGGTAGATAGAGAAAGAAAAGCATGCATGAAATGCTAGGTTAGAGCTGATGACAACAAATTCTACATGTCACAAATGATTCACACCCTCTTCAGAGTAGTCATTTCCTAAATAATTTGACTTTCCTGACATCAATTGACCTGAATCAAGCCGGTCGCACTAAGGCTTTCTGGTCTTCAATCGCTTCAATGTCCAGTAGCTATAACATCACCTGAAACAGCAACAATGCTAAAAATTATTCAGTGGGTGGAGATTAACTAAGGACTAAGTAAGTTTTTTTTTTGTTTTTAGCGCCCCGGAGGTGTTCATTGTATCTTAAACGTGAGGGACGTATGGACTACCCGACATAAACTCAAACAAAACAGGGAATACCCCTTTCGGTGACCATTTTTTTGGCAAAACATGCTCAGGCTGAAATCGAGGGAGGTATGGACCCTATGCCCCTTTTAGAGCCCAAAGTCGTCTACAGAGGAGAGGACCACCCAGGTAGGGAAAAATTTAATCTATTCTTGCAAAAAATCAGCGACCAAATTTTAACATACAAAGCTCATCCTGGCCGATTTTGCGAACATGATATGTGCCTTTATATGCGATGTGTGCTAGCTTAAAATAGTTAACATGTGAAGTGACGCCTGACGCGTGATGTGCGATGTCTGTTCAGTTGAAATCGCTTGCATGTATAATTGATGCGCGACTGTGATACCTGTTAACCTCAACTCGTTTGTATGTTTGAATGAAGCGTAATGCATGACGCCTACTTGCTTGAATTAGTTTGCATGTACACGTGTTGTCGCCTTTTCTAATTATTAGATAAGCACCGTATCGTGGTAACGGCTAGCAATAACTTTTTGTTTAATCCTCTAAGAGTTGGTGTCCTGTAAAAACTGGCTTTCTATTTCCAAAAAAGCTGAAAAATCGGGTAGGGCCACCAGCAGGCAATTTTGAATTTATTTCTGCTACTTTTTCGATATACGCATGTTGCCGAAATATCAATTCAACTATATATTTATTCTCCCGGTTTTCTTCGACGAATAAGGCTATTAATATTGTCTTAGCTATGTGAAAAATGCTCCTCTGCTAATGCTAATTTACTGAACAACTTACGTAATCTTGCACAACATTGATTTGAGCCAACCGACGGTCGTTACGTCTGAAAATGTATTCACAAAGCTGGATATGAACGACGCAACGGTCATATGATGGCTTGCCTTAATCGCCCCATGGCCAATGAAATGGCAGCATCTGAAGACATTACGCGTTGTGGGTGCCTGGGTGACCTTGAAATAGTCACCACGAAATAATATTCGCACCTTTGCAGGTGTGTAGATCAGAAACTAGAAAGGTTTACAAAATTAGAAGGGTGCTTAAGAATGGCAGGACTGTGTAACATACTGAATGATCTTCAAGATGGCTAATTTCAATTGAAACCCATACAAATGTGGCACACACCCTTTTATGCTCTGGTATCTACCACACACTAAGGTTCCGATGTATGGAAAACCTTATGTTTGTAATGATTTCCCCTTCAAGGCTAAATTGATGCCCAAAGCCTCTGAAAACGTGTTGTTCTAGGGGGTTGGGGAACATGTCTGTAAGTACCTAACGGCAACATTTTTTAAATGTAATAAACACCCACTGCAAATGCATGAGAAAAACTGCAAGCATCCCCCTTACAAACGTCTGGTCTAGCGTGATAAACCTACCCAGACAATTGCATAATATTGCTGAAGTCAATCTCTTCAACCACCTTCAAAAGCTAACACAATGTTTGCCACTTCAGCAACTATCCTTATCAGCACACCATTCTCTAATCAACCAAGGCAGATCAGTCCTCCATTAGCTACAGTTGTCGGTAAAGAGGGTTCACCAATCCCTTTCGAATATTTACTACTCACTTTTTAAAACCTTGCCGGACGACAATAACTTGCATCCAACGTAAGCCCAGTCTTCTCGTCCGAGAGGCCGCACACCGCAATGTCACCGTCGCGCTCGTTTCAAGAACGCGCAATGGCGGCGATAGAGATATGTATCTCATGTGACTTAACACAATTTACATTAATATCTTTCATCACCAGTTTCAACGTGATTTAATGTGATTTAAATGCTTATACCAAACGCAAACAACTTACAAGTGCTGAGACCATATCATGGAGCAGCGCGATTTCGCATTTCCTTATTCATCTCTATTCTCTTCCACGTGACCTTGCCACCTGAAAAACTTACACACGCGCGCAGTTCGTCCAAGATAACACACTTTACACAACCGGAAGTAAAAATGCGTGTAATTACGTTTTTCGAGGACCAGCTGAAAATCGAATAAACATGTTCAAACAAGACTAAATATCTCATTTAAGGCCTCTGAAAACCGAGGTCCGGCATTTGGACCTCGGTAGTGAATACCGGACCTCGGCAGTGACGGGTTGTTGGGTGTGTAACCGGATTTGGTCCTCTGTTTTCACGGCACACAAGAGCACACACACACACACACACACACACACACACACACACACACACACACACACACACACACACACACACACACACACACACACACACACATGCACACACACACACACACACGAGCGCGCGCGCGCGCGCATATATATATATATATATATATATATATATATATATATATATATATATATATATATATATATATATATATATATAGCCAGACCTGATCGGAATCTTTCATTTTTCAAGATGCGTAGTGATGAGTCAAATAATTCAATGCAAGCAGTGGGTTCGACCCGAGTCGAATAAAAAAGCGGACTGGGGAAGAGTGATGCTAGTGATGTGATGTGATGTGATGATGCTACCGAGTGATGAGCTAAATCAGATCTCAAAATCTGAGCCAGTCCTGCGCCGACTAAAAAAAAGTGAGTGGATCACAAATCTTGCGATAGCAGTCCTGTGTTATTGTGACAGCTGCAAGGCAAATGCATGTCTTGTATCGCTTATCCGGCTTGCAACGGTGGTGCACTCTGAATCATCATAACGCATCTCTGTCGTCCGCTAAACATGTTTCTCCGCGCGTTTCCCTTTCATCGTATTTGACCGCTGACACCGATAAATAAAAGGGAAATGGTTTAATTACTTAGCAACTGCGCCAACCTTAGCTCTCAGAAAGGGTCCAGTGGATTTCAATAAGCGGTCGCCTCTGAAACCTGTCCCATCGCTATGGGATCCACGTGTGGATTTCTCATAAATCAAATGGTCTTCCATCAGGCCTCCATTCCATCAACAGCATTATTTGTGAAGCATCACCAATGCGATGATTCAAGCAAGTGAGCCAAACACCGGGAGGATTGTATCCATAGGTCGAACATCCATGAATATCCATATCCATAGGTCGAAACAAAAAGCCGCAGGTATCACAAGAGTCTTCCACGACCACCGCGCAACTACTGCCGAGCAACATGACATCCTCGAGGTTGCCGGCCGGATAATAATGTTCTGTCTTTGTCACGCCTGTTACAAGTGGCGTGCTGACACAGCGAAGTTTGTATGCTAAAAGGATACGCTGATCATGTCCATGCTCAGTGGGTTAGTCAGGCAGTACCGTACCGCATGACGTCACTGGTCGGCACAGGAGGGTAAATATGTCTACGGCATCTCTCTATCGGGTAAGCTAAAAACCAATAGTTTGAGGCACACCAAGAGGTGGCACAGTTCTAGATGTTTTAAGATGACTGCGTTCGTATATGCTCGTCAAACAGGGCCATTTGGCCGTCGGTTTCTTGTCATGCTAGTTGGATAGGGGACCGAGGAGTAGTGGATCCGTTAAAAAAACAACAATACTGGGATGGCGGATTCGGAGCACTAGCAATAGATCATGTTCGGCATTCAATCAGCTTAAAATCCGTTCCAGTAGAAATTAAGTTTTTCTTATTGCTTTTCATGTTGTGGCTGCACTGGACTCATGATCTAAACTAGCGATGGCGCGCAAAACAAAAGCATGTTACCCAATTTAGTTTCGCATGAGACCTCAAAACAAAGCAGTTCTGGTATCAGCTTAAAGTAAAACAATGTTAGGTTCGTAGCCACCATACGTAGAAGGCACAATGTTACTTGGCACACAAGTCTTCACTAGGCTGGTGAATCAATGGCATTACTATCATGTTTGGGATGTGGAGAGAAAAGGTGGCTTGGCTTACGTTTAACAACATAAAAACCGTCGAATGTGAAATGATTTTTCCCCAGTGACTTCAGTGATCGCTCATTTGAGCAACGATTTGGAGATTGCGGGTCAAGTCACCTCGCTGCAACCTCAACGGCGACTGAACTGCGAGGAAGGATCAAAGAATAAGTACATAGAATAAGCATATAATGAGATCAAAGATAGTCTTTGAGTGGTGGCGAATTTTTTCTGTGCTTTTGTAATATTTTAGTTTAAAAAAATGGGAGCCAACATTGGAGGCCCAGCTCGACATCAAGGGGGGCAGGGCTCTCACTAAACAATGTTAATCGACGGTCGTGTTCGGCGTTACAAACATAAGCAATGTAATCAAAGAACTAAGAATTTTTGTTCGCAGGTAATGCTGCGAACTAGGAACAAGAATGTAGCCTTTTTACGAAATAGCCACTGGATACCATGAACCAACATCGAGAACCAGACACTTGTCTGGATGGTGACGGAGAGACGTGAACGAACGGTTAATGGCTTCATGCCCGATGGCAGTGATCGTTCGCTCCACCTCCCATCCGCCAGGGAGTGCTGAGTCATAGCGATCGTCCAAACCGCTGAACGTCGGGGCTGGGCCCGAGAACTTTCCAGACAGTCGGACAATGCTTAGTCATTGTGCATGATTACGTCATTGCATGGCGTAGCCTGAACGCGACATCAATATCTCCCACGCATGCCGTCAAGTTTGCCGCCACAGCATGCCCAATCCTATAAACGCTGATATGAAACAGATATCGCCTAGCTAACGATGATGTTCCATGTTGATGCCTTTCAGCCGGCGGGAGGCAGGAGTATCTCAACGGGGATGCACAGAGCCAATCTAGCTTATGTGATACAGTTTATCCAGTTTATTTGGTCGGTGCACTTTGGAGGCTTTCTTCGTCTATGCTCGTGGTCCTACCGTCCTTCGAGGATGTTGGCATGCACTGTGTCATTCCAGCGCGACGCACCGTCCCTCTGCGCTGTATGGCTGCCAGTGTCTCGCCCCGCCACCATGGCAGCGCCGTCGCGTCCGCCTCGCTTGCAGCGCCATCCGCCGTCCGCCTCGCTTGCAGCGCCGGTGGCGTCGCGAACCGTCATGACATTCATCGGCCGCCCCACCGACCGCTCAGCTGACGGTCGATAACCTCCCTCCGGCTGCGGGCGGCTCTGGCTTTGGTCTCCCTCGCTGGCAGACGGCCCGACCTTGGCGGGCTCCGCCGCGCGTCACCCGGCGACTGTGGCATCGCAGGCGGAAAACGCGCGTGTGTGCACGTGTGGGGTAGGACGCGTCTTCTCACGAGACATACGGTCAGTCATGGCGTACCTGACAAGGTGGCATGTATGGCAGGACATGTTGTATTTGTGGCACGGCTATTTGTTTTAGCTTCGGGGCGTGGTTTCGAGAAGCCAGTTCGGGTGGTTTCTGCCCAAGGTTGGTCAATCTGGGGGGGAAGGGGTGACCGCAAACGCTTGTCCTCCAACTTTGGCCATTTGATTTATGTTTCAGTAACAGGGCAAAGCCAAGTGTCTCATTTGTTTGCTGCACATATCTTTGTTCTCGAATTTACGTGCGCAGATCTGATCGCAGTTCTTCATACGTAAAACTTCGTACGCGAATTTTGATACAAGCATTTCCTCGGCGCAAATTATCGTGGGAAAATATTTCCGTCCACAAACTGCGTTTCATGGTCAGTGGCCAGGGGGTGGTAAAACGTGACCTGATGGATAAGGTTGGCGACGAACATGCATATTTGCACGCAAAGTTTGGTGCCAAAGTGCTCGTGGCAAAACATTTTGGTGACAGTCACGACAAAATAGTACAGCAAACTGCACAACTTCACGTGAAGCCTCCATGTTGCGATATTATGCCTCCATGGTAATAAGTGCTGCCCCTTTTTACTTAGAAAGTCCGCGCCGTCCCCGCATCAAAATTTTGAAACCCGCGGGATCGCGTAGGCCAATTTTTAGAAGAAGAAAATGCACATACCCGCAAGCATCGTTTTGGAGAAATCTGGGAGGCAGTGGAGTGTGCCCACAAATTGCCTACAAGCTGTCTGGTCATATGGCAGTGTCGAAATAGGTCTAAGCCACCAAAATGTATTTTCCTATCCCAGCGTTGTAATGCGCGCAGTTTGATCGCAATTGACATTTCCTGAATGAAATAGAACTTTGACGATGAGAGCGTTTCATTCTTCTTTCATGAAAGGCAGGCGTTGACATTAGTCTCCCGTGCTCATGGGCGAGCGGGCGCTTTGTTGCCCCGTGAGGCCACGATAACGACAAGCTGCTTCAGATGCAACGAGAAGCGTGCCAGAGACAGTTGGCTCGTATCATCTTTTGAATTAAATCACATGACATCACTTTGAATTGAAAGCTGAACTGCCCGCGCGTTTGTCAGTGAAGTGGGTGATATCAAATTAACCTACAGGCTACTTAACCACCGCAGCACCGTCGTCTCCGCGGTGCTCAATTCATTTTAGATGGCGTCTGGCTCATGAATATTGTAACACCGTAGAACGCAGGACAGAGTCCCTTCCCAGCTAGCTAAGAATCGAGCGGTATTGGAGGTTAAAGTACACAAAATGTTAAAAGGAATTAGATAGGGGACATTTTGTTCTGCACTGCAACCAAGGACCGCTAGAGGTCAGTATGACTGGTAGCTAGAACGAAAAGACAAGATTGTTTTGTTTTATTAGGCTCGAGCTCGTTGGCCATCAGTTTGGAGCTACGAGGTCTTAGAACATGTCCGAGGGCAGCATTTGCATATCCCACTTCCAAAAATAAGGTGAAAGGTAAGAAGATAGGAAGCCTGGAAAG